TTAAGACTCACTAACCTTCATCAAATACAGCAAAAAGTAGTACAAATTTGTGCAAGGTCTGTGTCTTTTCCTTGGCCAGACTCCCTGAAAAAGAAGTGAGAACATTTATCTTCTATTTTAAAATCTCATGTAGGAAATTGTCACTAGCAGGAGACATTTCTTCATCAGTTACTTGAGAGTAAGAACAAATGTAGTCTTCTGTCTCTTGTTAACTTTGCTTTGTTGTCAGGTCTCCTATACCAGTGTTTCTAAAACTATCTGGAACAAAGAATTTTTTTATTTCAACTTTGATGAAGACCACTACTTGTGTAAAATATGATAAAAATGAATTACTAAAGAAAAAAATTAAAAACATTTATAAAATACAAGCCCTCATACACACACATCACAGAGAAAAAGAAAAATTACAGCAACAGTACACATTGCTTCTGAAAAAAGGTGTGTATAAGCAATTAATATACATAATTTCTGTTACTCTTATAACTTTTTATACTTCTGCAATTGTAAATTAAAAGTTTTGAATAAAATAATAATTGTCCATATTAAACATCTATACTCATGATATTTTTTTCAATAGCCCACAGTGCTTTTAATTATACTCACATTTTAAATGAATACCGTGTATATCAATAGCTAAAGTTTTTAATGGAACAAACTAGCTTGTTTCATGCTTTAACTGTTGAGCTTGGCTATCTTTCTTAGCCTTATATATTTTTTAAATTTGGGAACTTTTGTTTGCAGGCTTATTTTGAGTAGAAAGATTTTTGTTTATGACATTTTGCCTTTCTTTCTCTCTCTTGCACCCTTAATGCTTAGAAATAAAAATTAGCTTGAACTAAGAAGGTAACAGTATGTGTGCTGCTACTCATCAGGCTGGGTAAAAGACATAGGTAAAGCTAACTACAGAGTTAACAACACCATTTCTCCCAAGGACACATTGCCACTGTACAAACTCACTGAATACCAACTATTTGCTTTGATTATCTCTTGATTTCTTACTCAATTGAATTGTTTGTTCTTGGAATTCACAGCCTGCCAGAAATGTCTGAACTAATAGCAATAAGAATGAAACATCTCATTCTTTCCTAGGTCATCTAAATTACTTTGACACGAAGCAGCAGCTCAATTTAAAGCTCAAGCTTCAGGTAAGGGATGCCTTGACTTAACATTTCATGTCTATGTTAACCTTTTAGTTAACCAGGACACTTCACAGTCTAGACCTCATGGTTATTTCTTTACACACAACTCTACTGTGCTTCATCTAAATATTACCTAACCTCCACCCTTCCCCGAAATTCTTTACTAACTCTATATAGTATTTTCCTTTGTTTAGGGAGGTGTCCACAGTCTCTCGTTGCCATGAGCCAATAAATCTGACTTTGTTGAACTACAGTGATCTTTGCTGTCCCTTGTGATCATTGGTTGATTAAACAAAGGATGTGTTCACTATTCTCTATTTAGCAAATCACACCCTAGAATGGAATTTTGGAGATACTGGCTAATGGAAATCTTGGGGATATTTCAGATTCCCCCACTGAACCGAGAAAACTTAGTTCCTATTCTAGGACTGGGTTTGCCAGTTATGTGATTGGTAAATATTTTCTCCCACTCTATAGTTTGTTGTTTCCTTTCTTCTGCTTGATTTGGGTTTGCTTTGCTCTTCTTTTTCTAGTTTCCTGGGGTGGAAATTTAGATTATCGGGTTGATATTTTTCTAATACAAGTGTTTAATTCTATAAAATTCCCTCTAAGCCCTGCTTCAGATATAAACCAAACATTTATTATTATGTGGTCTGTGGTTTCAGTGTCAGATCAGTTTTAAACCCTTTGCTGTGCCATTGACTCCAACACAGTGGCCAGTCTGGTATGTGAGGGGAAATCTCAGTTTCACAGACTTCAGCATGCTAATTAGGATTCCATCGAGATATGTGTAGGTTGGGGGTAAATCCAGGAGTTAATGCACAACTTTATGGGTTTACTTTCCTGGGATCTTTTCTCTCTGTCATCTATAAACTTTCCAGTTCCGTGAGCTCCTTTTTTTGGTTTTCTAACCAGAAGCTTCCAACTAAGGTCAAGCAACGGAAGGGGAAAGACAGAGAGAAAAGTAATGTGCTTTTGCCCCAGGGTCTTAGATCTGTAGCTGTACTGAATGAAGGATAATGTTCCGCTCCCTAAGTTTTTACTCCTGCAGGCTTCTGTTGCCAGCCACTGTCACTGGCACAGGCAACCTTGGACTGAAGCTTGAGAGAATGGTGGAAAAGAGGACAAAAACCCTAGGGGATTTCCCCTTCCATGCTCTTTGTGCATTTAGAGTTACCTTTCCCACTCCTTGAAACCCTAGAGGGTTTCTCCTGGAGCTCTCTTTGCAACATAGTATACTCCCCCACAAGTTTGGTAACACTTTGAATTTTAGTGCCTTTTCTCTATATACTTGTTCTATTTGCCTTTTAGAAATTTTTAAATATCTGGGCTTTGCATTTTGTCAAGGTTTTATAGATAAGTTCAATGGGAAATAAAGGGTGGAGTGTGTTTATCCATTTTACCCGGAGCTAGAACCTCTGTTGACTCTTTAATTCAACTCTGTGTCAAAGAATTATTTGGGTTTTTAACTTATTTCTTTATATGTCATATGTAAACACTAATGTTTTGATTATGTCCTTGTTCAATTAGCCTTTACATCTCATAAATAACACACTGTGGTTTTGGCACTTTCTCATTAATTATGACTATGAAACTGAACTTAGTATATGAAAAATCATACTTTCATCTGAAACTATTATAAACTACAAACCTTTCTCATGTTCTCCACTCCCCACTCCCATCTTTTTTTTGAATCACATTCATCACCATTCAGAAAGACTATGGTGATTTCTGTTAATAAATTCTTTGTTCAGAAAGATCATGGTGGATTTCTGTTAATAAATTCTTTGTCGTTTATTCCCATCAAAAAGGTGGAGTCTCTCTAGACTGGTCTTAGTGATGTATCTAATCAATAGAATGGCGTTATGTGAGTGATTTCCAAGGTTACCTTAGAAAACGTGAAACAGTTTCTAATGGGCTCTCTCAGGACCATATAAGAAGCCTGGCTACCCTGTAAGACCCGTGTGAGAGAGACCATGTGGACAGTGCCATCAAGCCAAGGTTAAAGACATGTGAATAAAGGCAACTCTGGGATGATTTCAGCTCTGGCCACTGTTTGACTATAGCCTCATGAGACACACTTAGATAGACCACCAAGTCAAAACACTCCCAAATTCCATGAGACCCACAGAAACCATGAGCGATAATAAGTGATTGTTGTTGTTTTAAGCCACTAAATTGTGGAGTTATGCAGTAAAAGATAACTGGAATAAGAAAAAGGTACAGTGAAGCTGATTTCACCATAAAAAAATAGGATGAAAAACAAATTATGTAAAATTTACTTCCCTAATTTAATTTATGCTAAGGTATAAATTAAAAACAGGTTTGATTAGAATTATTTTAGAATATATTAATTCAATCCAAATTAATTAATTTTCAATAACATATATAAATAAATACTGACTTTTCTTAGATTTTTATATACTTTTGGTTTGCAGATGACAAACTAACCACCTGAACCAGTCTATATGTGTTCACCTTCATGAAGCTTTCTCGAAAGAAGACATTTATGCAGCCAACAGACACATGAAAAAATGCTCATCATCACTGGTCATCAGAGAAATGCAAATCAAAACCACAATGAGATACCATCTCACACCAGTTAGAATGGCGATCATTAAAAAGTCAGGAAACAGCAGGTGCTGGTGAGGATGTGGAGAAATAGGAACACTTTTACACTGTTGGTGGGATTGTAAACTAGTTCAACCATTATGGAAAACAGTATGGCGATTCCTCAAGGATCTAGAACTAGATGTACCATATGACCCAGCCATCCCATTACTGGGTATATACCCAAAGGATTATAAATCATGCTGCTATAAAAACACATGCACACTGCTTCTCTCAGAAACTGGATTATTCTCCTTTCTATGAGCATGATGCTAGAGTAAAGAAGCCTCTTTCAGGTTAAGGAACACAAATGCTAACTGTTATAGATAGATTCAGTTGTTTGTACTTCTCTGCTTATTTCATCTCAATCATACACTTTCATACACTTACCTTCTCTACATACTAGTAGGGCTCCAATGAGGCCCGAATTCAAGTCTTTTACCAGGTCCACATGAGAAAGATATGAGTAGGTAAGGCACAGCGGGTCAGAGGCCATTGGACCATTCTCTTTCAGGACCTGCCAGACATATGTATGGCTTCCACCAGGAAAGACTTTATCATCTTCTTTCTCCCTTTGACTGGTCTGATCATCATATTCAGCTCCTATAGCAGGAAGAAATAAAATTGTCCTTTCTATATCCATTGTCCACTTAAAGAAACATGTCAAGTTTACTGTCACCAATAGGTTCTACATAAGAAACAGACTTTTTGCATCTTTGTTGTTGTTGTTGTTTTGAGACGGAGTCTCACTCTGTTGCCCAGGCTGGAGTGCTGTGGCACGATCTCGGCTCACAGCAACCTCCACCTCCCAGATTCAAGTGATTCTCCTGCCTCAGACTCCCAAGTAGCTGGGATTACAGGCACACACTACCATGCCTGGTTAATTTTGTATTTTTAGTAGAGACAGAATTTCATCATATTGGTCAGGCTGGTCTTGAACTCCTGACCTTGTGATCCACCCACTTCAGCCTCCCAAAGTGCTGGGATTACAGGTGTGAGCCGCCACCTCTGGCCTACTTTCTGCATCTTAATTTGAAAAACTAACAAGTAGCAGCCACAAATGGGGAGAAGCCTCATATATTCCAGAGGATCTTGAGATCACTAACCCTAGTATGAGTAGTAAAAACTAGGTTCTGGTTGAGATCTCCACATTCTGTTAAATAATAAAATTGCTTCCATTATCGCATCTTTTTGCCTAATTCAATTCAACAACAAATACACTTTGTCACAGACTCTTTGGTAGGCACTAGTGAGGGTCAGGGAAGGGTAAGAAAGAGAGGTTTAAGAAAATTTCTTAAACTTTGTTCTTTCCTAGCGGTACAACACTATGTTTGGTGGGGGACATAGACATATAAAGATATAATTATAATACCATGTGGAAATATTCACCTATTTATTCACAAATATTTATTGAGTTCTTATTCTTTACCAGACTCAGTTACAAGCTGAAAATATAAAGATCGAGATAGAAGTCTCTGCTTATGGAGCGAGCAACCCAGTGGATAAAAAAAGTAGTAAACAAGCTTCCTACTCTTCAGTAATGCTTGATGAAGGAGGTGGAATTTGAGATGAATCTTAAAAGATAGATATATTTGCGTCATTTTTCATGTGTTTAATATAAAGAATTTAATATTTTTGTGAGTGGATATTAGAAAATTATTCTTGGAATTGCATTGCTACTTTCACTTTTTTCTTTCAACACACTTTTTATGATGATGCATTTTAATGTACATTACAAATTTCATGACAGTCCACTCCTATATACTTTAGAAGTCATCTTTAAAAAAAATTTTCCCACATATACAAAATGACACTAGCACACCTGATCCAGTTAATATCACCTAATATCAATGCAATATTCAAATTTTCTTTTTTTTTTTTTTTACTCAGAGGTTTCCAACACATTTTATTTTGCAGACCACTGGTTTGTAGCTTTTGAGGACCAACATCTGTATATCAATTCCTATAAAATGTCCAACCAATTTCAGTTCCATAGCAGGCTCTTCCAAATTGCACACTATGCTTATGGGTGGAGGTCCAGTTACACATGCATAAAGGCTGCCCTGCCCGCTGGTTCCCAGAAGAGGTCGCGTCGGAGTTAAAGCCTCTTCCAGGAGCTTGATCTTCCCAGGGGTCATTTCCTTTGGCAAGAAGTCAGTTTACACGTGCGGCTTTGATGCCTGTGAGCAGGAAGCACCAGAAACATGCAGGATGTGCTGCTTTTTCTCTCATGAAGGTGGGCACTCGAGGATCCAGTGCCCTTGTGCTTAGTGACAGGAATCCCTCCTCTTTGCTCAGTAGGTTAAAATATAAGGAAGCCTCCACTTTACGAAACACAAATAACACCTTTTTAGGTTGCCTATTTATTCTAGAACTACAAAATTTAATTCAAGAAAATATAGGTCCCATGAAAGACTTAAAAGTTTTATAAAACTAAAATCTAGTTTTTTCCCGATAAATTGTACTTTAGGCAAAACTCTCCCAATGCTTCTAAAATAATACTAAAAGGGGCATCTGATTATACAAAAGCAATTTAAAAAATTAAATATTTATTTGAATAACAAGTTTTAAGTTCGAGCTGCAACGTTGGCAATGCAGGTTTTTAACACAGATCACGAAAAGGGTGCACAAAAAAGTACTGGCGCAAAGGACAAAATAATGCTAAGAATTAGGCTAAACAGCTGCTGATTTTAAGGAAACAAAAGGCCTGAAATCACTATACAAAATATAAAATATATTAAACACTACCATCCACAGAACAGTCTTTATTATTGATTATATTTAAAAATTATTTGCGTAATTACATATTGAATTGTAAATGAGTATTATACATGAACCTCCATTCGGAAGGCAATTCCTTGTAGCACTATAGAACATCTAATTACATTGCAAAAAGTATCCTTTTTTGCTATTGATAAAACAGTTAATATTACTGTAAATATCAGGAAGGCTACAAAAAAAGAAATAAGATTTCTTTTTTGTCTTCAAAGGGTTTTCCATGCAGTGAAGCATTTGCCATGTTGAACTGAATGCACTACTGGAGAATGTTCTGGGTTCAAGATGCTCTTGAGAGACAAGACTAGGCTTTTCAAATCAAACACTCAAAGGAATCATGCAACCCTCCTATGACTGGGATATGACTGGGATACCATCATGTGCCACTTACCGGTGCTGGCTCTCCAGAAAACCATTCAAGACGCTTAAAAAAAAAAAATCAGACTTACATGATAAGTATACATAAAATGAAGACACCAACTGCTATTTGACATGACTACTGGTAATGTCTGTGCTATGTGAAAGCACCTTTAAAAAGAGCCTATGCAGCAAGAGATAAGTGTCTAAAGATTCAAAATGAATCAACAGTATTGGATAACAATATAATTCTCAACTCAGAAGCTGCTTCAAGATTAGGTGCATCTTCAGTTAATGTAACAGGAAAAAAGAAATGGATTTTATTTTATTAATTGTATCCACTTACAAACAGACCCAAGGTCACCCCGATGTGTAGACACGAGATTTTTGTTTTTAATTGAAGTGGTAAGGGAAACAGATCTATTTAAAATCAAAACCGAACAACTATTTCTGTCTAGATTAAGAGGTGGCCCCAGGTGTGGGATTCACCTTTTGAGTGGCCACTTGTGGTGCGACCTCGATGATCCGGGGTTTGTCTATCATTCTTGTTGTGCGGTTGTCCTTGTCTACAATCCCAATAATCCATGCTTGGTGGCCTTCACCATATTTGGGGGACTTTATCTCTGCATAGAACCGAGCTGCTTGCTCACATGGTAAACAGATCAGAAGGCCACCTGAGGTCTCTGGGCAGGTCCCGTGCATGAGGCCGAACATGTTTCCACAGGCCTTGCTCACCGCAGTCATCTTGGCCAGCACCAGGAGGCTGTGAATTACAAACGACACCTCGTTCCTCTGCTGCTTGACCAGGTTCTGCACATGGCCCCAAATCCCGAAGCCCGTGATGTCAGTGGCTGGGTGGGCACTGAACGTGTGCATAAGTCCTGCAGCTGTCTTGTTGAGCCTTGCCATGTTCATCATTGCCTCCTGTGTCCCCAGGGGTTTTGTCAACACCAACACGTTCCCTGGCACTGCATTGTCTGGCATGATACATTCATTGGGCTGACAGACAGTGGTAGCAACTCCTCCCAGGACAATCCAGGGGTTTAGTACTGTTTGGCCACCTGTTACAGACGTTTCTGCTTCCTCAGCTGCGTCTTTAAAACCTTGGATAATCAGAGGCATCACTTTATCCCTTTCCCTGTCGGTCATTTTATTACCGACTCCAAGGAGCATCAGCATATTGTCACATTCCGTGACCCCCATTGTGTAGAGGTCACTGAGGACATTGGCACATGCTATCCTGCCCATCATGTAAGGGTCGTCTACGATCGGGTAAATGTAATCTGTGGTTTGAACCAAGGAAAGCCCACCGTGCCTCAAAGGAATGACACAAGTATCCATTCCAATGCCAAGCCTTGGTGTAACGGCTCCCAGAAACTGCTCATCTTCTTGGAAGTGGGTCTCTTGTAAAGATTCCAGCAATTTTTGCAGGACATCTTGGGGCACTTTGCAGCCTGTGCCCTTCAGTTCAGTGAATCTGGTTAGCCGGAAGCTTTTGTCCAATTCGTAACTTTTCGGGTTAAACGACTCCCGCATAGACATGGTTCTTGGGCCCCGCTCTCCTCACAGCTCAGCCCCTCCCCTACCTCTGCGGGTTGGCTGGCATCTTTATGGATCCACGGGCTCGCTTTGCGCCCTCCGCCGCCTCCCGAAAAACGGGCCGCGGGCCGCTCCTACAATGCACCGGGCGCGGCCGGGCTCCCTTAAGCGTCGCCGGAATAAAAATGCCGCGCCCCGCGCCTGAGCGTCGCAGGGGCTCGCCAGGCTCGGCGCGGCCCTGCGGGAGCCGGGCCGCCGCGCTCCCGCCGGCTGGGCGCACCTCAAATTTTCTTAATTGCTTCAAAGGCATCCTTTGTAGCTAGTTGGTCCAAATCAGAATTTAACCTAAGACTGCACATTGCATCTGGTTGTTTAGGCCCACACTCTCTTTTAGTACGGAGTAGTCCCTTTTTTCCTGACACTCATTTAGTGAAAGAAAGTTGGCTTGCAGTCCTGTAGAATATCTCATGCTATTGAATATACCTAAGTTCCGATTAGATTCAAGTTAAGTAAGTTTTTTGGCTAAAATACATCAAAGATGATGCTGAGTCCTTCATATTGTGCCATATCAGGGGTAGATAATATCTGGCCATCCCATCCTTAGTGACACTAAATTTGACCCGTGGATTAGCCTGATACCTCCATTCTAAAGTTAACATTTCCCGTAGCAATCAAAAAGAAATTTCTGAGATATTATTTTGGCACCATACAAATGTCAAATTCCACATCAGCAATTCACCCAATGATTGTAACATCAGCTGGATGTGTTTGAAGTCAATCCTAGACAGGATATCATTTCATTTATGAGTATTTCAATATATATCTCTATTATATAAGGGCTCCTTTTAATGCGATCATTATTTTTTCAATGATCAATTACTTTGAACTTTGACAATGAGAACCCTTTCCTGCCAGCCCCATGGAGGGTTACAGACTGTATGTAAAACGTTTAATTTTGTAAAATACATTAAGCAAAGATGACAAAATGTTAACATTTGGCAAAGTGAGGTGATGGGCACATGTTTGTTTGTTATATTATTTTCTGTATCTATCTTTGTTTGAAATATTTCATTTCATTGCACTGGTAGAATAGGTGGAGAACAGATGTAACCAAGGTAAGTGACCCAGCTCAGAAAGATTTGAGTCTCTTCCTCTCCAGGAATGGGTTAAACCTAGTTTTCCTTGGACAGAAGAACTTGGCCATATCTGAAATGAGCCACTGCATCAGGAGCAGTAACTTCAACATATGCTAAACATTTCACTGGAAATGTACAGATGAGTGCTGTTCAATAGAAATATAATGCAAACCACATATGTAATTTTAAATTTTCTGGTAGTCACATCAAGAAAAGTAAAAAGAAATAGGTGAAATTATTTTAATAATGTATTTCATTTAACCTAGTATATCCAAATATAAGCATTTCAACTCGTATTTATAAACAGTGAATGAGATATTTTTCATCTTTTTTGTACTTAGCCTTTGAAATCTGGTGTGTATTTTACAGTATGTCTCAAGTAGGACTCACCACATTTCAAGTGCCTGATAGCTCGTGGCTACCATTTGAAGTGTGCAGTATAGACTCTATGGCTGGTGTCCCCTCATTGGATAAGATGTGGCCATTTGGGGGTCCTGAAAGGTGTTACCTTTTCTGATGGGTTTAACTTGAGCTAGATTTTAAAATATTATTTCCCCATAATTATGATTTTAAAAGCTCTTATCTCTCTCCCTGATGTCAACAGAAAAGAGAAAGATAAAATTGCATTGGCCACTCTTTTCTCCACCAATTTTTGGAAAATTTCACCAATGTTGAACCACGATTATATGTAACTCTTTAAGATATAGCCAAGTCCAGACCCTCCAGATTTGCCATGGCTTCCTGTCTCTGATTATACACCTACATGTTTAGGGTAGGATCAGTAGTATAGAAGGAGCAGATAAAGGTAGGTTGTCCTGCCTTTGCACCATGCCTGCAACTATGAAAAGGACAAGACCAACACCCCCTTAAGACTCCTATAAGATCCATGGCCCACAAGATATGAAGTAGTAGAATCTTGATTTTATTATATATTTGGGCTCCATCCACTAAGTATAGGATTACCTGGTAATAGTAGGTCCTTTTTCTCACAAATTTCAAAACGCTGGCGGAAGTACTCTCATTGGCCTAGTTTGGGTAAGGTGCCCATCTCTGGACCGATCAACTGTGGCCAAGGAGGTGGGATACCAGTGTCAACTGCTCACCCCTAGATCAATTGCTATGGTTAAGGAGGCATGGGCTTTAAGAAAATGGCAGGTTCTGTTTGAAGTACATTCAGAAAAGCAATTCTGAGGGGGTACACAGGTGAGAAATGTTTAATTTTAGGAAGAAAAAGTGACTGGTGCCCACTGCACCCTCATTATTGCTTGAGTATCCACTATAGGGTAGGCAGTATGTTATATGCTAAGGACACAGCAATAAATAAGACGAATTTCCCTATCTTGAGATATTTATGATCTAGTAAATGTTAAGAAACACACATAATGTTCAGTTAGGACCTTAAAAGAGTTGAAAGAATTTGGTTCCAAGTCTTTGCTATTGTGAATAGTGCCACAATAAACATACGTGTGCATGTGTTTTTATAGCAGCATGATTTATAATCCTTTGGGTATATACCCAGTAATGGGATGGCTGGGTCAAATCGTATTTCTAGTTTTAGATCCTTGAGGAATCGCCGCACTGGCTTCCACAATGGTTGAACTAGTTTACAGTCTTACCAACAGTGTAAAAGCATTCCTATTTCTCCACATCCTCTCCAGCACCTGTTGTTTCCTGATTTTTTAATGATCGCCATTCTAACTGGTGTGAGATGGTATCTCATTGTGGTTTTGATTTGCATTTCTCTGATGACCAGTGATGATGAGCATTTTTTCATGTGTCTGTTGGCTGCATAAATGTCTTCTTTCGAGAAGCGTCTGTTCATTTCCTTTGCCCACTTTTTGCACTCTAGCCTACCCACATCAATCTCCAGACCATGTTCATTTGTATCAAAGAGGTCTGTGTGACCCAGGTAAAGCAGAAATTTTGGAGATTTGGAAATTCAGGGAGATATTTTCATAGAGGTGGAAAATATAGTCGTCTGTCTCAAATCAAGATGCCCTACAAGCAAATTAACTTTAACTACCTCTCAAATAACTAACACTGCAACTCTATTGGGCTTCGTAAAACAATATGTCCTTGGTGTGGAGACCACTAGGTCTCTCAGTTTGTTACATATGTATACGTATGTCATGTTGGTGTGCTACATCCATTAACTTGTCATTTACATTAGTTATATTTCCTAATGCTATCCCTCCCCCTACTCCACCACAGTCCCCGGTGCGTGATGTTCCCCTTCCTGTGTCCAAGTGTTCTCATTGTTCAATTCCTGCCTATGAGTGAGAACATGGGATGTTTGGTTTTCTGTTCTTGCGATAGTTTGCTGAGAATTATGGTTTTCAGCTCCTTCTACCAGAACGCTTTCTCAAGAGAGTGCTGAAGAACTCCATCATCCTGGCCATTGTCATTGGACTGGGTGAGACTGATGCTGCCTCTTGCTTTCTAACTCTTCCATACCACTCAACATCAAGAAATACTGGGATAGAGGCTTGCTTCCCACTCCTGGATCACAATCTGTAAGAATGAGATAAGCCTTGAGCTTCCAGTGGCTATCTTTGCCATCATATTAGAAAAGCCTGCCTTAGAATGAAAACAAAAAGGACAGCCCAGCTGAGATGGTGGGAGAAAAATGGTCACAATGCTGAGAGCATCACTTGAATCCTTGGATCCAGCCATACTTGACTGACTCCATGGAACTTTTCAGTTACATGAACCAAATTCAACATTATTTATATGAATGCTTGCACTGTAGCACAGTGGTTCCAAGTATAAGTTCTCGAGTTAGATGGGGTTAGGTTTGAATCCTGATTCCACCACTTACTAGCTGTACAACCTTCAACTCAATACGTATTAGTCATTATTGTTGTTATTATTATTTTTCAGTAAGTTTGTATTTAAGAGAATGGATCCAACTCCAGGTGTGCCACCATTACAAAGCACACACATCTCACTGTTCTATTCCTAGAATGACAGGACAATAGGAGGGTATTTAACTCACCCTCAGAAGCTTTCCAGTAGGATACACCAACAGCATGAAGACTGACAGGATGGGAAGCCATGTTCTTAAGTGTAATGACCACTGTGTCATAAACCTCAGCCTGGATGGTAGGACCCAGCAGACCTGTAAGAATGAGATGTCCAGCAAAGGTCACTTGGGGATAGTACTCCAGAAAACCTGTTATCACAAAAGTTAAAGTCAAGGTCACAGTGGAGAAGCATGCCCCTGTAATTATTGATAAAAGGTAGTATTTGCTTGCCAACATCAGCCTAACCTTATGGTTGCTCTGAGGAAAGATTTCTGGCAATCATTCAATTCATTCATTCATTCATTCATTCATTCATTCATCTAGAGTTCCTACTATATTCTAGGAACTGTCTTATGCACTGGAGGTGCAGTAGCAAACAGGACAGATCATGGAGATCATATTCTCAAGATATTAATCATATAAAAAATGAAAAAGAAAAATTCAAGTTGTTATAAATATTATAAAAGCTAGTGGTCTGCTAGAAAATGATGAGGCAGGAGGTAGAGGATACTTTCAGTGTAGTAGTCAGGAAGGGCATCTCTGAGGAGGTGACATTTGAGTAGAAATCTGACTAATGAAAAAGAAGTAAGATTTTCAAAGATTTAGTGGAAGAGCATTGCAAGCAGATAAAACAAATGCAAAAGTCCAGAGGCAGAAATAAGTTTGGTCTAGTCGAGTAAAATGTGGCTGAAGCACAGTGAATCAGCAGGGGAGTAACAGAAAATATGGTCAAAAAGGAAACATAACATGCAGGACCTTGCAGGCCACAGGAATTTGGATGAATTTGGATTTTACAAGGAGTGAAATAAGAAGACTTGGAACTTGTTTTGGAGTAACAGTCAACAGGACTTGCTCATAAATATGATGGTGGAGATAGACAAAAAGAGAGAGTAGTCAAAGAACACTCCTATGATTTTGGCTTGTGCAACTGGGTTGTTAGTAAGGCCATGACAGAAAATCAAGAGGAAAATTAAGAGCTCCACTTTATGAATACACTAAATATAAAATGCCTATAAACAGTGTATTGAATGAACTGGATTTAGTGGGATAAAAACATAAAATAGCCTTATTTTTCTTAGACCACTGTTTTTAATTACATTATGTGAGATCTCCCTTTTCCTGCACTTTGGCTGATCCCAAATCTTTTCCAGTAACCTTCAGATATTAACCAACAGTATCACTTTTAGGTTCTAACAAGTCCAGTCCAGTCTAATACCAAATTTTTGATGTCTTCTGCAATTGCAAGTCCCCTTCCTTCTGCAGCTACGTTCTGACAGCCCCAGAAATTTGCAATACGTAAAATTAATTTTTTTGGCAGCTTTGCTGCTTTCCCATCTTCCACCCCAACTCACCTTTCTGCCTCTGGACCCTCCACGGTAGGAGCAAGTGGGAAGGACGGCAGGACGGAGGGTGGGGGGAGGTAAAAAAAAATAGGCACAACAACAAACTCTTTCTTGATAATGTGGCATTAGTACTCCCTAGTTGTGACACATACCAAAATTCTGCCTTTCTTTCTTAGGGAACTTATGAGTTCTTTGGAGACCTCTCCCTGCCAACATGGAGACACCCCACTGCACCTGATCTTAGCATGGGATATACCTTCTCCTGCCGGTCACTTGTATCTCTCCTCTCAGATTCTGCTTCTGGCAGTACAAACCACACAGGCTTTTTCTGTTGAGGTTATCTAACCCTGGCAGGAAGACCTCTCAGGCAGAGTCTTTGTAAGACAAGTCCCATTCAGTGACCTTCCTGGCCTTACACCTAACAGTGGTAGTGCAGTTAGCTCCCACTACAGCCCACTCCCCCTGCTATTCCATCAGAAGCCCTTTTGGCCTCTGACCTTGAAAATTTGTCCAGATAAAAACCAGGCAGTAGTCAGTGTCTCCCAAGTTCCATAGGTACCTTGTCCAGTCTTCTAAGTGGTTCTCCCGAGGTCTCCTTGATTATAACTTGACATGAGGGACGGGCCTCCCATCCCCCATGGGGTAAGCAACACATAAAACACCAAAGAGGCTCTCCAAAGAAATATTCAAATCTAAAGTTTTTCATAAGTTCCCAGCCTTTTTTTTAATACAAGGTTGGAGGTGAGTCAGGGGCTAAGGGTTGCAGAACCAATTTTGGACTATTACCTGAACAAGTTCTAAATCGATAGGCTGATACCTCTCTTTAGAATAAGGGGATACTTCCCACCTGTAATTCTCAGCAACAATTCTAGGACAGAAAATATCCTATCATAACATGTTGTTACATATTTTATTTGACATCTAAGTAGAGGTAAGCAGTTGGCATAGACCAAGCAGAGGAAGATGGCCCAGTAAAAAGACAGAAAATGCAGTCAGTGTATTTCCCTATAGGTAGCAGTTAGGGAAACATTCCCTTTGGCAGCTGCACTTTTTAACTGCAACCTCAAGATTGCGGAATCTGTGATAGAAAATAAGATACCCAATTTCATAATTAGCATTCAACATTGTTTTTATTACCCATCCAGGGTGGCCTTGGCTTAGCGATGTTGAAAAGGTGATCCGTGAATTCTACAAACACAGTCTTTTTGTACATGACTGAGGTGTTGAATGGAAAAGATCTTGGCACTCTAGGAGGAAATCTGTGAAGAAAGGAAAAAGTCGTTTATTTTGGTGGACGCTTCAAAAAGCAGCTGGAAGTAATGCTTCCATACTACTCTTTTCTACTATTAACAAGGAGGTAAATTTGAAGTTGTATATAAATCCCTAACATCCATTAAACTGAAACACTGTTTTCACAAGTCAATTGACACATTAGGTGTCATGTGATAAGAATCATAAAATCAGTAACCATACACTGCATCAGCCAAAAATCCTTTGCCAAAGCAATAGCTACTGCATCCTTCAATTTCATCTCTAAAACAGGCTATAACTTTCATCTAAGTACTCTGTATTCAAATTTTGTCAGTATGTACCTAAAATTATACTTCCCTCCTTAGGGATACCAGGAATATCACAGAGAGAATTACCTTTCAGCAGACTATGTATATTGAAACCTACTAGTGCCAGGAGCTGTAATTCAGAATCAGTCCTACGTTAATGCTCACTCTTGTCTCCACTCAGATACTCCCAATTACTCATTTATTCATGAACCAGCTACTGAATCAGAAATTATATAATTACTTATATAAATGTTCCCAAAATGTTATTATTTGCCTCCATTGTCAAAGCCGTTTTAAGTGAAAGCTGGTTCCCAACTTTTCCTCTCTCCCTGTGTGACAGTTTAGCATGTCGGGGGCCTCCTCAGGCCAAATAATCAAAAGGACCAATATGAATCTTGGTGAATAAGGGACACTGGCCCCAAGTGAATTGGTAGAAATTACAAAGTGGTTGAAGGTGACTATCTCCACTCACTAGTTTCATGTGCTGATGAGTTTTGCACACCATGGAGCAGTTCTGCAGCTTTCTCTATGCCATGAAGAGCCTCTCTTCCTGACTTTTATGCTTCTG